ATTTAATGTATTGTGGTCAAAATCTGTAAATTCGAACACTGAATTCATTCCTTCGTATATTGAAAAGATTTCTACTAATAAAATAGATAATACGATTATACAAAATGTATTTCAAGTTGAGATTGAACCATTGGAATTTGAAGACAAGTTTTCTTTAAATAATATCAATGACAATTGGCTTATTAATTTGAGTAACATAGAAATACCGGAGAAGGTTAAAATTATATTACAATTAGGACAAAAATTTAACCTACCTAATAATAAAATGGATAATGATAAAGTGATTTTGGAATTTATTAAACATATCGAATATAATATTAATAGAGTAGAGAATAACGGGCGTCATTCGATTAGGAATGATTGCATTCAGGCATTAAAAAAATTATCTTATATTAACTCAATACAAAGTACAGACGATAATTTAATTTTACAGAAAGGAATGAAGAAAGTTAAGAAATTTGTAGATGAACACAAAGATATTCTAACTACAAAAGCTGATAAAGGCAACTCTACAGTTATTATGAATTAAGGTGAATATAAAGAAAAAATGCATGCTATATTATCCGACAAAAATGTTAACTAACCAAATACACATATTGTTGAACCGATGGAAAAACAAGGAATACATAGAATAATCTGCGTATAAAAAACTTAATGTTACGGATGGAACAGTATCTAGATCGTATGGTATGCCAAAGATTCACAAGGAAGGAAATCCTCTGAGAATGATCGTGAGTTGTATTAATAGTCCATTGTACCCGTTAGCTACGTATCTAAAACAAATTATAAATAAAAGTGTAAATAAAGGTTTTAGTTACATAAAAAATAGTTGGGACCTTATTAATAAAATAAATGGTAGGTCATTAGATGCAAATTATAAATTAGTTTCGTTTGACATTATTTCTATGTATACGAACATTCCGGAGAATTAGTGATAAAAAGTATAAATATAAGATGGAATGAGATATCAAAAAATACTAGTATTCCGAAAAATGAATTTCTAAAGGCTATCTCATTAATTCTTAATACAACATATTTTAAATTTGACAACCAGTATTTTAAACAAATTTTTGGCATGCCAATGGGATCTCCACTGTCTCCCATATTAGCTAATCTTGTAATCCAGGATTTAGAAGAAGAGATTCTTAACAATTTGAATGCGGTGGTTCCGTTGTATTATCGGCATGTTGACGATATTTTGATCGCATTGCCATATGAACGGATTGATGACGTTCTATGTACGTTTAACTCGTATCATAATAGATTGAAATTTAGTGTAGAAGAGAAGGATGATGGTTCTGTAATTTTTTGGATGTTATGATCAGAGTTGAGGAGGGCGGTGTCAAATTTGATAATTATAAAAAACCGACGAATTCGGGAAGGTATTTGAGTTACAAATCGCATCACCCTGATGAATATAAGAAAGATGTTATTATAGTCAATTTGATAGAATTCTTTTTTTTTCACATCCGGATTATCATAGGAAGTACATAAAAAACTTAATTAATGTTTTGCTTTTGAACGGTTATCCGTTAAACATAATATTCTCTACTATAAATTATAGAATAAAAACTTTATCGGAAAGAAAGAATTTATATAATAACAAGAAGAATGTTAACAAAGAAATAGAGGATAGTAATTTAATAAAAAAATATTTTACAATACCTTACATACAGAACATTTCGGAAAAATTCAAGCGCATTACAGACAAAAATAATTATAAGATAGCATGTAAATCGATTAACACCTTAACTTCAGTTATTAAATTAGGTAAAGACAAACTGGAAAAAATGGAAAGTTCTCAGATGGTATATAAGATTAATTGCATAAATTGTGATTCAACATATGTAGGTCAGACAAAAAGGAAATTAGGTACTAGGATAAAGGAACATAAAGCTGATATTAAGAAAACAAAGGATACTCGTTCGGTTGTTTCGGATCACCAAGTGAAATTAGGACATAATTTAGATTGGGAAAATATTCAAATACTTGACACAGAGCCATTCTTTCAAAAAAGACTCACGTCAGAGATGATTTGTATTAAAAGATAGATTAACGACATGAATAAGCAGACAGACACAGAGAAATTTCTAGAATCATATTTTCTTTTGTTAAATATCTCTTAAATATAACGGCTTCCCTCTCCACTTGTTTACGATTTATATAAGTTGGAGATATACGTTGAGATATTAGTTTGTCATCACAATTTGTAAGATACTGAAAGTTATCCGCGTGACGTTATGGACTGGATTATAAGATAGTGGAACATAGGTGCGTTTTAAGATATAACAGACTTAATTGTTTCTTTTGTATTAATAATAGTGTCATTACTAGAATCAGGAAGTTGTGTTCTATCATTGAATTTATGCTGAGCTGCGATGTATTAAGAAAGAAATGACTGGTAACGTTAAATTAACATAATCGCACAGAATCTGGTAACTCTGTGAGATGCAGCAAGGATTTTTTGATGTGACAAAGGAGATTAGCAAAATGTGAAGCATAAGTGACGGAAAAAATTCATGACTTCCGTTTTTAGGAGAAAAGAGAGAAAAACAAATTTTTTTTTGTAATGACAGATGCTAGAAGTTATTTTTAAGTAAGATTGACGGCTTAACTAAATTGTATTATATAATTATGTTGCGTATGATAGTAGATATACTATGGGGATTCTAACCCAGTGATACAGCCACCTGGCTGCCACCAGGTGGCGCTGCCGTCGCGGTCGCGAGAGGAACTATGGCGCGGGGGAACCATTTTACATGTCGCATGTTCTGATGATATCATCAATGTAATATGATACAAATATCACGTGACCAAGTAAGTGATATAAAATAAAAATTAATTTTAAACTACGAATTGCTCGCGTTTATTTTCATACTTGTTATTAATTCTTTTTTTCTTACAATGGATAGGTACAGATGGCATAAGATAGGTTGGATGGGAAGTAAAGCAAGTACATATATTTGATGTGAACGATAAAATTTTTTTATTCACATATAATTACATTCGGTTTTTTTCGTGTGTATTAAAAACTACAGCTAATAGCTCGCAATCGACGAGCTGATGTCCACTGAAAATATCGCTATCGCGTATAGCATCTTCGGAAGCGATGTTGGA